CAATTTTAATAAAAGTTTAGTTCCTTTTTCATTAATACATTCTGATGTTTGGGGTCCCTCTCATGTTATGTCTGTGAAAGGTCACCGATGGTTTGTTACATTTATTGATGATTTTTCTCGTATCACTTGGGTGTATCTCATGAAAGATAAGAGTAAGGTTTTCTCTGTGTTTCGCAATTTTCATAAGATGATTTGAACTCAGTTTAGGGCCACTAACAAACTATTTCGTTCTGATAATGGAGGGGAATACATAGATTCTAGGTTAGGACAACATTTTTCTACTCATGGCATTATCCATCAGACCTCTTGCACCAATACCCCTCAACAAAATGGGGTGGCAGAACGCAAGATTCGCCATCTTCTTGACATGGCTCGGTGCATGTGTTTTTCTATGAGTGTGCCTCGGCCGTATTAGGGCGACGCTGTTCTCACCGCTACACATCTTATTAATCATCCTCCTACACAGGTCTTGCAAAAACAAGCTCCTCTTCACGTCCTCCTAGGTTCCCAGTCCTTGTTTTCTATTCCTCCCAAAATATTTGGTTGTGTCTGTTTTGTTCATAATCTCTCCTACTCGTGGTAAGTTGGACCCTCGCTCCCTCAAATGTGTTTTCCTTGGTTACTCTCCTACTCAAAAGGGGTATAAGTGTTACCACCCTTCTTCTCGTAAGTGGTTTGTGCCCATAGATGTTACTTTCTTTGAGTCCCAATCCTATTTCTTGTCCTCTCCGGTGTCACAGTCCTCATTTCCAGAGGACCCTTGGTGTGAAGTGAGTCTTGTGATTCTTATGGTGGAACCAGTTGTTCTTACACCACCCTCTTCTACTGGGACTATAGAACCCAATGTCATATGGTGGAACCAGTTGTTCTTGCACTACCCTCTTCTACTGGGACTATAGAACCCAATGTCACCAAGGATAGAGAAGGGCAAGTTTATGTCCAAGACATAGACAGACAGAAAGTTAATTGGATGCAAGGAACCACTTCTACTCCTCCACTGCCATCTCTAGCTTCTGATGAGAGTCTAGGTAACTTTGAATCTCTTCAGTCCATTGATCTTGATGTTCCTACTGCCAAGAGGAAGTGTGTGAGATCTTGTACTCAACATCCTATCTCACATTTTGTGTCCTACTCTCATTTGTCATCCTCATATAGAGCGTTTGTGTCAAATATTTCCTCTGTTAGCATTCCTAACCATTTTCAGGATGCTCTTGCTACCTCTGAGTGGAAACTAGCCATGATTGAGGAAATGAAAGCACTTAGGAAGAATTGCACTTGGGAATTGACTGAGTTACCTACGAGCAAACGACCTATGGGATGTAAATGGGTGTATACTGTGAAACACAAAGCAGATGGTTCTATTGAGCGTTACAAGGCAAGACTTGTGGCAAAAGGGTTCACTCAGACATATGGCATTGATTATCAGGAGACCTTCGCACCCGTGGCTAACATGAATTCAGTCAGAGTACTCTCTCTAACAGCTAATCTAGATTGGCCGTTTTATCAATTTGATGTCAAGAATACCTTTCTCCATGGTGACCTCGAAGAAGAGGTATATATGAACAGTCCTCCTGATTTTGAGGGTCATCAGACAGAAGGCAAAGTATGCAAGCTTCGGAAGTCATTATATGGTCTCAAACAGTCTCCAAGGGCTTGATTTGAGAGATTCACTCAGGCTATGCTTAAATATGGCTTCAAACAGAGTCAGGCAAATCACACCTTGTTTGTGAAACGTTCCTTACGTGGTAAGACTACAACACTTATTGTTTATGTAGATGACATAGTTCTTACGGGCTATGATAGTGGAGAAATACCTCTGTTGAAGAAATATTTAGCTAGTGACTTTGAAATCAAAGACTTGGAAAGCTTGAAGTATTTTCTAGGAATTGAAGTTGCTCGCTCCAAGGATGGGATATTTATCTCACAGAGAAAATATGTGCTTGACCTGTTGAAGGAAACTGGGATGCTTGGCTGCAAGGTATGTGACACTCCACTGGAACCCAATCAAAAATTGGGAGATGATGAAGGAGGAGAAGCTGTTGAGAGGGGGAGCTATCAGCAATTAGTGGGTAAGCTCATTTACCTATCTCACTCCCATCCTGATATTGCTATTGCTGTCAGTATAGTTAGTCAGTTTATGCATGCTCCTCATCAAATTCACTTCGAGGCTGTCATGAGAATCTTGAGGTACTTGAAGTCTGCTCTTGGTAAAGATCTTTATTTTTCAAAGTATGATAATCTTCGTGTGGAAGCCTATACAGATGCTGACTGGGTTGGATCAGTAACTGATAGGAGATCGACTTCAGGGTATTGCACCTTTGTTGGAGGCAACCTAGTTACTTAGAGGAGTAAGAAACAGAATGTGGTTGCCAGGTCAAGTGCAAAAGCTGAGTTTAGAGCTATGGCACAAGGGGTGTGTGAGCTTTTATGGATCAAGTTATTGTTGATTGATCTAGGTATTGATCAGACGGACTCCATGTGGTTATACTGTGATAATAAGGCTGCTATCAACATCGCTCACAATCCGGTTCAACATGATAGGACAAAACACGTTGAGATTGATCGCCATTTCATTAAGGAGAAACTCACTAGTGGTACCATTTGTACTCCTTTTGTCCAGTCTGGTGAACAACTTGCTGACATTCTCACCAAAGGGGTTGGGAATAAACCATTTCATAACATATTAGGCAAGCTGGGCATGAGAGATATCTTCGCACCAGCTTGAGGGGGAGTGTTAGCATATTATATTATTATCTGGGTTATTAGTTTGTAATTATTCTATGCCTCAGGGCTCCCTTGTAATTTTTACAAACTTTAATCTTCATTAATATAAATAGGGGATGATATCCTAATCATACCCTAAGCTGGTTACTCTCTAAAATCATCAAGAACTAAGTTGGTGAGTTCTTAAATTAAATCTTGTTTTTAGTTGGTCTAACTTTGAAATTATTGCATAGAAATGAGTTTTCATTGATCATTTATCATTATTTTACATTTTGGAACATTAGATGTTAAGATTTGAAGCATTGAAAATGAAGAGATGAGAAAAGGTTTGAAAAGAGAACAAATATGAAGAATTTTGAAAGTAAATCATGTTTTGATTCATGAAAATTCAATGCATAAAAATGTTTTTCCATGGACTACATCATTTATACACGCTTTAGCACCTTAGATATCAAGTTTTGAGGTTTTTGGTGAAGAAAATGAAGTTAGGAACTTCAAGAACTCGAAGAACACATCCAGCCCAGAATTTTGCTCAACGGGCACTCAATCGGCCACCATCAACCGCACGAGCAGCCAAAGCCAAATCTGCCCTCACATGAACCACCGCTTGTGCGGCCTAGGCCACCGCACCAGCGGCCAACCCACCGCACTGCGGCCAAGCCTCTGATGCATATTGCTAAACCTCCGCTCGTGCGGCCCAATTTTGGCGCACGAGCGACCAAACAAGGCACTTGTCCGATTTGCATTCTTTCCATTCCTTTTGACTTACCGGACTTCCTTGTACGTGTTTTGAACCTAAACAAAAACTAAATACAGCTAGAAACCGATTTAAAGTATGTTTGATTAGAGAAGAAAAACTAAAACTAAGTCATATGCTTAAATTAGTTTAAGACGCTTGCAAGTTAACTAGTATTTCAATGTCTCATTCATGTCCTGTGTAGGTCAGACTTTGGAAGAGTTCACCCCCTTTGTTCAAGGAGCCATTTGTGAGTAGTAATGTTGTAGAGTTATGTTTGTTAAACTATGATTCGAAATGCAAAACCTATGTTATGTCTATGAAAGCTATGCTAATGATTTATTATGAATGAACATCCTAATATAAAAATAATTTAACAATTCCTCATTATTAATCCCCTCACTATCAATCCCCTCACTATTAATCCCCTCACTATCAATCCACTCCATTCTATCTCCCAAAACAAACGGAGCCTAAGATCCTTAGGTGAAGTCTTAAAATTGGGGCTTTTTTATGTATAGGAAAACAAAAATACCATCTGTCCACAATTTTATCCCGAAAAGCTGTATAATGTAGATTCAAAGGTAGTGTAATGTGAGCCACACCTAGAATGAATGTGATTCATAAACATGTGTTTCTAAGTTAATTCTTACGAGTATGTAGTATTATTGTATACATAATCACCAAAAATTAAGGTTTGTGGGTAACATGGTAGCATGATCTATATATGACAATGCATTAGCTATCTACTCGAGCCATTGTAAGATGGAATTCCAACCTCCACCCAACAAGCGATGAATAACCTTTGTTTTTATGTGAAAAAGTTAGTAAAATACGTTAAAATGTATAAAATGTTGGGAGAAATTCTAGAGACCACATGTATAATGCCAGGGTCTAACATACAATGTTTAGAATTCGTTTTCACTTAAAAACTTAAGCTCTACAAGTGAAGATTCCCATCCATTGTATATTAAAATCACTCCATTTAATTTTTTTATCATATATAACACCTTACCTTCATACATGCTTTAACATAAAATATGTGTTATAGTTTTAATTTAATCTTATTTTTTGCTTCTATTCACATCTTAACCAACACACTATTAGCAAGGTTAGACAACTTTTAAGATTGAGTTACATTACATATTGGAACATTGAAATTTATAAGTGATTTCAGTCAGAAAATTTTACAATAAAAAACAAGTTTAACCATCAGAAGCATACACTTGGCCCAACATTGAGCCTTGTAACTTTAACCATGAAAAAGGCCACACTCGACTTGGATCGGCTTGTGTAGTCATTTCTTTTTGGTGAAAAAACCTCAAAACTTTTGGGAAAATTTATTGCTTGAGACATTGGTGCGCCGCAGAATGTTGTCATTGAAACCTCCTCCACCACCCATTCCCACTCCCAATGGAGCCTTAACAAACACTCGGTTCTCCGACCCCACTCTCTGAATTGCTTCGCGAAGCTCTAACCCCAGTTTCGAGTTCTGCACCCCAGTTCAGGCCGCCACCATCCCCTTGCTTTGTAGCTCCAACGACGTCGCTGTTGATCCTGCCACCGGTTTTGGCAAAACCCTAGCCTTCGTCATCCCCATCGTTGAGCTCCTTTGCCACTCCTCCACTCCCCCCAAACCTCACTAGGTTCACATATATATACATATATATATATGAAACTATACTGTCTTCAGCTATACTCGAAAAACTTCAAATTATGCAGTTCTGTATAATTTTAAAATACAAACTTGTTATTTATTATGTTGACGAGCATGGGTAAAAGGAGAAAATTCGAAGTCTAATTATAGTTGTGTGTGACACTTTGGAAGTAAAAATTTGTACAACCCATATGCAAGTTTTAGCCTCTTTTTTTTTTTTTGGTGGTTTTTTGTATTACATGTATGTCAAGCCAAGGGCTTATTATGAACTGTATTTTTGATTTGTTGGTTAAAAGGGTTGATTTTGGTGGAATGTTGAAAAGTGTATCGAGTTGGGTTTTATGAAACACAAGCCCACATGGGGGGTGGTTATTGCCTTATCAGTTGCTTTTTATTTGGATTGGATGTATTTATAGTCCATTTGGTTTAATAGGTGAGAAAACAAAGAAGTCTTTTGTGATACTAAATCACAGGGTTAAGACTAGTACTTATGGTCAATTTTAAAGGTGCTTCTATGTGTAAAATTTTCTTAAATTAACTGCATTATTTGATCAATCACTTTCATTTTGTGTGCATTTGTGAGTATTATTGTTTGCTTTGATTTCTGTTAGCTCACCTTCAACATCGACAACAGGTAATGGGGATCATAATATCTCCTACAAGAGAGTTGTCTTCACAAATATACCATGTTGCCCAACCTTTCATTTCAACATTGTCGAATGTTAGCTCCATGCTTCTTGTTGGGGGAGCAGAAGTAAAAGGAGACATAAAGAAAATAGAGGAGGAAGGAGCAAATTTGTTGATTGGCACACCTGGAAGGCTACATGACATAATGGAACGCATGGATATTTTGGACTTTAGAAATCTTGAGGTTTGTATGAAGTCATTAGTTTACTTTTTTTTTTTCTTGAATCTATACCTCTATGATACATTGCATTTTTAGAAAAAGAGAATGTTCAATTTTTAGTTCTATTTTACAAAAAATTGATGCTACCCTCAAGTCCATTCATTGGTACAAATCAAATATTATTTGTAATTATGGATGTATATTCAGTTACAGGGGTGGGTAAGCATCCATCCGATCCATCAAAATTGAATGGTCCAAACCGATCCGCCACAGGATGGACGGTTTCAAATCAATGGTCCAAGTGGATGGATGTGGATGCATTTTTCTCAATCTGCCTAAGTTCGGATGGATAGTGGATGGTAGGCTACACGACCCAACCTGATCTGCCAACATTTCTAATAAAATGAAGTTATACTTTTATGTTTTCTGTTAGAATTTACCTTCACCTACACCACTACCACCTCACCTACTCCACTAAACCTAACCCACTACACCACTACCACCTCCACTTCACCTACACCACTACCACCTCCACTTCACCTACACCACTACCACCTCCACTTCACCTACACCACTACCACCTCCACTTCACCTACACCACTACCACCTCCACTTCACCTACTACACCTATATCTCCTATATAAGGAGCCTCTCACATTTGTACTAAATATAACAATCAGATATCAATCAATAAGAATACATCAATTTTAACATGGTATCAGAGCAAGGTTAAGATCTTAGTATGTCTCGCTTCACCGGCGGGCGGCAACCTCGCCTTGGCCGCCCGCCGGATCTCAACCTAGTCTGCTAAAATTTTCTACCCATACCTTTCCACCACTGCTTCCTAGTTGATGAATCTGTTGCTCCAGCTGAACGGAAGGGCAGCTCTCTGGTTTCGGATTCCGGTTCAAGCTCGGACTGCCGGAGAGTTTCTTTCTCTCCAGGCCAAGTCCTCCTCTCTGCAGTCTCGCATCGTGGACCACCGCTGCTGCATCAGCCGGCTCTCTTCCCTACTGCACTCGCGGTTTCAGCCACCACTGCACTACCACGCTGCTGACCACGCTTCTGTTTGGAAGGATGGAAGTTCCGCTTTCTGAAAGGTGTTTGGAAGGATGGAAAAATAACTTCTTCAGCGAGGAAAAGTGATGCTAGAAACATGGGGAAGAAGGGAAGTTGGTTTTCTGCCATCAAGAGGGTTTTCATACCCCTGTCAATGGATCGGAGAAGACAAGTTCCAAGGAAAAGAAGAAGGGTTGCTTCTCCAAAAGTTGTGTCTCCCTGACAGTGCTTGTTCTCCACCTCCCTCTTTTTCTAATCTCCAACTGTAAACTCTGTTAAAAAAAGAAAAAAAGGAACTGAAATGGAGAAGAGTAGTAGAGCTCACTCTCGGTTTTTCGCTGATTTTGTTCTGTTAATCGCGACGGCGATCTTCGCTCTCCGTGTTGTTGAAGGGACTACTGATTCGTCTGACGTTCAAGCTCTTCAGGTTATCTACAATTCACTGAACAATCCTCCGCAGCTACCTAATTGGAAAACGAGTGGTGGAGAATGTCAATCTTAACTGGCAATCTTACCAGTTCCTTCAGCGCATTCTCCAATCTCTCTACAGTGTGTCCCTTTGTTGACTGATACAACCCACACTCACAAGCACACTTTTTCTTTTATTTATTTATTTTACTTTTTTATTCTCTTTATCCTATACCCTCCCGTCCAGAGCATTTTCTCAAATCCCATCTTTTCATATAACCCATCATGCATCCCACTCACTGAAATATTAAAACTATATCACCCAACCATCTTCTGCTTTTTTGGTTTTCACCAAAGTAATGGGCCAGCTGTCCACTCCTATTGCTCCACTTTCTTTATTTATTTATTTATTTTTTTAAATAAAAAAAAAAAGATAAAAAAATAAATAAATAAATAAAGAAATAAATAAAATAAAAA